TTCATGTTTCAAATCAAAGATGACCAGAGGCCATTCACTCGCAGAGGAGTGCTTTTGACCGTGAACAGCCTCTACGATCCTCTAGGATTCCTTGCACCCATCACGGTTCATGGAAGACTGATACTCAGAGAAATAACTAAGCAAGCAGAGGATTGGGACACACCTCTCCCCAAAGACATGGAGACTGAATGGACTAGATGGAAACGGTCGCTCTGAGACCTGGAGGGACTCCAGATACCACGCCCTTATACATCATTCTCCACCGCAGGTGCTCTAAGAAGAGAACTCTGTATCTTCGCAGATGCATCGGTCAAGGCAATAGCAGCCGTAGCCTACATCAAGGTGACAAGCCGCCAAGAACAGACTGAGATTGGCTTTGTCTTCGGGAAGGTGAAGTTGACGCCTCAGCCTGATCTAACCATCCCAAGACTTGAGCTTTGTGCGGCTGTTCTCGCCATCGAGATCGCTGAGATGGTAGTTTCAGAGATGGATACAACGTTCGACAGCATCGCCTACTGACTGCGGAACTAATTTCATCGGCGCTTCTCGTGAACTAGAGATGGACCAGTCGAATCCAGGTTTCAAAAGAGTGGAGGAGTACTTGGACACTCAGAGCTGCACCTGGGTATTCAACCCACCCCACGCGTCTCATATGGGCGGCGCGTGGGAACGGATGATTGGCATTGCCCGTCGTATTTTGGATTACATGTTGCTTGAGCAGAAAAGGTCTCATCTTTCACATGAAGTCCTGACCACCCTCGTGACCGAAGTAACCGCGATCATGAATGCCAGAACGCTCATCCCAGTGTCATCGGATCCGGAATCGCTTCTCATTCTCACTCCAGCAATGCTTCTAACCCTCAAGACAGGTTCTGCGCCTCTTCCTCCATCAGGAAGCTTTGAGGAAGTGTATCTCATCAGAGAAGAATGGAAGCAAGTTCAGGGCCTAGCAGACATGTTTTGGAACAGGTGGAAACATTGAATACCTCAAAACATTACAACTTCGGCACAAGGGGCAAGGAAAGAGGCCGAATCTCCAAGAAGGAGACATGGTTCTCTTGAAAGACAATCAAGCTAAGAGAAATCAATGGCCTATAGGCCTCATCACAAAAACCTTTCCAGGAGAAGATGAATTGGTTCGGAAAGTTCAAGTGGAAATTGTCAAGGATGGAACCAGAAAGATCTTTTCTCGGCCTGTTACAGAAGTGGTTTTGCTTCTTTCTCCAAAGACTGATTCCATTAATTAATGTGGGCTCTTTAAAGGCCCAAGCGGGGATTGTCATGCCGCTTGAGAAAAAAAAGGGAAAAAAAGGCGTTTTTGTTTTGTTTCAACAGTACAGCATGATCTGTTTATCTTTGTAACGGTAGTAACGCGGTACTGCGCACGTCATGAATCAGGAAGTAGATCGCTATGCGGTAGTCAGTTGCAGCAGTCTGCGAGCTCTCTCAGTCATCCGTTTCTCGAGCGATCGCCTTTTCCTTTTCCCCTTTGCTAAAGC